TGGGACAACTGCAAAAGCAAAAGATAGATCCGATGGAGGCAATTTAGATTGGAGAGCAATGCTAGAAATAAAAATAAACAATTTTTAACTTTAAGAACAAAGGTGATTGAAATACACGATAATTTACTATAAAAACAACCTATGGCAGCCCTCCATGCACACACGTCGTTACCTGTCATGGAGGTTGGAAGTTGACAAAAAATAGAAATAGGTGGAGGACTACCAACGAAAAAAGGGGTGCACAGACATATCCTAAGGTTGGGGAGGAATCGAGAAAAGAGAATAACTTTGGAGAGGGAGGATGACAATGCGCCATTGGAAAGATGAAGCTATAGTATAGTAGACAGCAAAGGGAAGGTATAACAATGAAACAGATAAGTATCATGTCGAATACCGAGGAATGAGGGGTAGGTATTGGGTATATTAACGTATGTAAAGACATATAACAAAATTGTATGTTTATATACTGGATATCCGTAAGGAATAGTTGGTAATACTAAAGGCAAAACTATATACATGGGTTACATTAGAAAAACGCATATGCGCAAAGTATATATCCATCCGATGAATATCACACATGTATAAATATAAGTTGGTATTAATAATACCACACTATAAACAATTGATTTTTTTAACATGTGAGGAATGTACGCAAAATGAACACAGATGGTAAGTATATATACAGTATAATGTATGGATTCGTAAGCGCACATGAACGAAAAAATAACTCCATAGCCATGATTCAAAAGGAAAAAAAAAAAAAAAAAAATAAAAAAAAATAAACATTTTTTTTTTTTTTTAATCATGTGAGGAATGTACGCTGAATGAACACAGATGGTATGTATATATTCAGTATGAATATAGTATAATGTATGCATTCGTAAGCGCACATGTACAAAAATGTAATAACTCCATATTCATGATTCAAAAAAAGCATTTGGATTTTTCTTATCGTGTGATAAATGTATGCAGAATGAAGACAGATGGTATTTATATATTCAGTATATGTATAGTATATTGTATGCGCTCGTAAGCGCTCATGTACAAAAATATCACTCCGTATTCATGATTAAAAAAAAAAAAAAAAAAAAAAAAAAACTTTTTTTATTATTTTTAACATGTGAGTAAAGTACGCCGAATGAACACAGATGGTAAGTATATATTTAGTATATATTTGTATTACGTATGCATTCGTAAGCGCACTTGTACAAAAGTGTAATAACTCAAAAAAAAAAAAAAAAAAAAAAACAGAAGCATGAGAGTAATGTACGCATATAAAGTTAAACTTGTCACCAGAAGACCAAGTTTGGTACTTGTAAATACAAATAGATATATACGCATAATGGCATAATGGGCATTAATTGCATGAATATATTCAGTATAGGTATGTGTACTCGTTTTTCCTTTCAATTTTTTCAAAGTGATGTATAATCAAGGTTAGCCTTATTTCCAGAAGACATTGTTACTTATTAACACAATAGAATGTCCACATGATGATAGACACGTGATGTCAGGTACAATGTACTTGTATATGAATTGGCTCAACTAGAGGAAGTCAAGTGAGATATATCCTCGTACTGCTTCACTAGGATTTTCGCGGAATTGTATGTAGCCCTGTAGAATACTCGACCGTCGTTCGTCCAAAATGAGTGGATTTTCTTCTCTCTTTTGGCTTTTGACAAACCCGCGATGATCTTTTGTCGGAATGATGTCAGGTCTTCAGTTATAAAAACACGAAACTGGTCGGATTGGAGATTCTTTAATTTGAGACGCGACTGGTATATACTGGTCTTGATTTTCCAGTTGCGCAATCTACATATGATTTGAGACTTTCCATTACGTATGTCACCAATCACGTGAGATCTGTTGATGTCATCGGTAGAGATATTTACATCAATACGTTTACAAATCTCAACGACCTTCGCATCGGTGGTTTGTTTTTCATTTTCCCGTAAGGGATGAATTACAATATGCGGTAGATATTGTATGCTTTGTGGACTTTCGGAACGTATCTAGAGTTTACAATTTTGCCAGTATATCCGAAACGATATTTTGATTCTCTTTAATTTAGATACATATATAAGAATCAAGGTGATAAGGATGTGTGTGAATTATATCATCAATATGTAGTAAGTGTGTTATCTATGGCCCTCAATGATGAGTATAACAAAGTATTATCATTTATTAAAGGTCACAAGCAAGTTCTATACACCACGGAAATCGGGTCATTTAAACGATCACCATATGAAAAAATATAAATATGCCAGCAATTATTCATAATCAAGAGAACCTAACAATACATATCATATCCTAGATCAATATTAGTACTTACCAATTCTGAAATCGGTGTCGGAGAAATAGATCTCTGTTTTTACTTACAGAAGTTATATATGTTTGTAATCGTTCCGCTCGGACACACATAGAAGACTGTAGTATAATAATAGTATATGTGGATTATACATGACCCCGACACGAATTAGGACACCGTCCACTAGCATTGACCAAGTTTACATTTATAAATACCCTGGTCAATACACGTTTGTTGTACTGAACGCCAACAGTAAATATTTAAAGGTTAAATACGTGTTAAAGACAGTTTGTGTACAAAACTGACTTTTATAGTATTGTGTAACGTGAAAGTATGAATTCCTTATTTCTTGAAAATAATGAGCTATTACTTTTCTTCTGAAATTTATCTCTTCATTTTTTACAGCTAGAAATTTTAGGCCTGGTATTTCGATCTTCTGTTTTAATTCGGTAGGTCCAATCGATAACATAACCAGCTTCAGCTTATTAACTTTTTAACATTTCATTCAAAAATTGTCATTATTCGATATTGTTTCAACTAATGTGAGAAATGATATAGATATATGTTACGCACAGAAATTAACCGGAGAGAACCAACCAATAGCTGTGAGTTCGGAATGAATTTTACAGGTTTGTATATGGATACTGGACAAATACAATCACTCTCTTAAAATGAGATGTTTGAGCATTTTTATGAACCAGGTTTAAGTAATATTAACCGATGTGTAAGTTCATTTTTTCTCAAAATATGAAAATTTATATTCTAATAAAACAATGCAATTTTGCTATTTTGAAGATAAAGTCTTTATTCAGCTGATAATACAATATGATCTTGGTATACGCTGCACTCTGACAGCTGTACATGTACGGGGAAGGCTTCAGGGAACAGACTTCTTCCATTACCAAGAATGTGCCAAACATTATCGTAAATGGCTGGCATATGTATTCAAGGTATGTTCATGATACGAGTTTTTGTGGTGTTTATGTGTGAAAACACAGTTAACACCATGTACGATTTTTTTCTGCTTGAATTAATAAATAACACACAAGATAACACCGACAAATAAACAAAAACATAATCCTATCTCAAAACTGATGAGACAATGCCAAACATCAACGGAACCAAAACAGATACACGAAAACCCTTGAAAATGTATACGTAACATAAGATAAGACCAGGTAGTCCGTAGGGTTAATCGTTTTTTGCTTCATCGATGGCACCCTTGTCCAAATCTTTCTCTATTCAAGCAAGTATTGGTACTTTTTCGATTGAGAATAATTTTAACAACAACGAAACTACCTTTCTCAAAGTGTGTTTTAGACCTTTCTATCAGTTGTCAAGGTTGTTTGAATAAATCCGTTGATATCAAATCAATTGAGGCGTGAAAAAATAATCATTATATGATGGAGAAGCAGATTTATGGCTTTTTAGAAATGAGAAATAATCTTATCGAGAAAAACTCTAAAAACTACTTATTTTCGCTGAAGTAAAAATAATTGGTAGGCTTATAATATAGCAAAAATCTGCGGTGACCTTGATTTCTAATTCTGGTGGGTATCTACCATGGGTATGATAAATAAATTTCTTGTCATTTAAAGAGAAAGATCATTAGTATATCTTAAAGTTTCATGATTTTATACTTCAAACTTCGGGAAGCAAATTCGGCTTCATAGATGACGATGGATCAATTTAAATTATTTAGAGACAAAGGGAAACAGTTTAAGACCAGGTGTCCTGAAAGGGTAAGTGATCTCTACTTCATTGATAAAACTCCCGCAATAAACATATAGACCAAGCCAAGTCATGTCAAGTTCTCAAAATGATGCACGTGTTATGTATGACATCTAGAAATATATTTTGAATATCAATTGATTGCAAACATTACTAACAAACGGTCTATTTATCAAGGTAAAAATAAGAAACTTGATGCATGTTATCTTAAATAATAAATGTCTTGAATAAAAAAGACGTTGGTATGAATTTTGTCTTCTCGCTCGATTTCACACCTGTTTCGGATGATAACCCAGCCTTTTCAAAAGAGTAATTGTGAAGGTTAGGTATTGTATTTAAGTCTATCGTTATGATATAAATGATAAATGCATCTTTAGATAAGCCATTCACAAGAAATCACCTTCCACATTGTCATTTTTCTATGTGTATGTTAAAATCTGTTGGATTATTGGATTAGGTCGATAGCCATCATTGCCTAAGAATTATTCAGTGGCACCTAACACAATTTTCACATGTTTTCGAAAGAAAACTGACATTAATTTTTGAAAAGATATTTTAAAAAAACTCATTTTACTGTTTGTCATAAAATATTTGCTCTGTAGAATATTTGAAGGTGTTTATATGTACTTCAAGCATAACTGATTGAATTCCGAGTTAGCACAAACCCCTTTCTATTGCTTTTTTTCCTTCTTAAATAAACTTCCATTCTGGATTTTCATTGGTTGATCATAAATATAAACGAAACATTTGGATAATGCAAAGTTATTCGTTTCCCGATAAAATCTAGTTGTATATGTATCACTAAAATTGTATTCAAACTTGCATTTTAACCTGACAGTGTTTTGCACAACACTTTGCCGTCCTTAAAAAACCATTTAATAAAGAAATACAAATAAAAGAAAATAATCAAAACACGAGAAAGATTTCTGAATTAAAATTTATTAAAAAGATCTTTCTCTAATCTATACCACACATCAACTTTAAAACGCATGCGCATTCCAAAATAACTCCATAGAGTTTGCTTAACTATCAAAATAATTCACTGCCGTTAAGATATTGCTGTGGATCTGATTATGAAATGAACGTGTTATGAATATATGTGGTATATTCATCTTCATATATGCAATTCACGTGAATAATTCATTTAATCGCCATAATTAGAAGAAACAAATTAGAATAAAGCATATATCAGACAACAATTTTGACTATAAAGGTAACTGGACTACACTTTAAGGCATAGTCTACATCAATATCTTAAGACATTATTCAATTTTATCTAAATAAAATGGATATTCTAAATAATTAAACAGAAAATACGTCTCACAAAAATTGTATTTATTCTGTAATTGTATTCAATATTTTATATACCGCCAACTCAAAAATAAATAACATTGCACGTGAATTTAACGTCACCTAAATTCGCTTTAAAGACTGATTACTAATTCAAGCATGACAATATATTTCCGAGCTATTGATATAAGTATTTTCCCCTTACAAACAAGTAAAGGCAATGTCGATTGTGAAATTAACTGCTCTCAAATTAAGTCTCACTGAGGTATACTTTACCTGTAATAGACCCTACTGTGTGTAAGGCTGTATTTATATCTTGATTCAACAAAAGCATTAAGGCTTTTTTATCTACCTATTATATTAACTAAATCAAAGAACTGTAGATACGATAGTTTACAATGAACTTTTTATGATAGACACACAATATTACCACACAGACAACATATGAATAAATGTATATGTACTCCACATTACCAATAATTAGTTGTTTATATTACAAATGTAACCCATCCCGAACATTTTCACATACTCGCGACACATTCACCCGTACTCCTGTCAGTTTTGTGCGAATACATTTCAAAATGTACTTAAAACAAATTAATAACCTGATTCTTATTTATTTTCCGCTGCACACTTTTTAAACCATGAATTTGTACATTTTTTTTTCAATTATAAGAGTTATACATATAGTTTTGCATAAAAAAAATTCCCGAAGTAAGTGATTGTATCCAGATATATTTTTGTTACAATAAAATGCACAAATCTGCTATATTCTAGAAAATATGTTAGTGGCAAAGGAAGGGGAGATAATTGGGAAGATCGCTAGTAGAGGGGGCAGGTCTAGTATGTGTTAGTGAAGTTTTCATATCGGTATTTGAGGTTAATAGACGACCCGGGTCTATATTTGAGGAATTGTTATTAATAATCTGAATATTGCAGATGTTTGTGAAAATTAATTACCCTGATAGATCTACAAGGTGAGTGACCAAACTGAATATCTGTCCCGATATAATTTTATATAGAAATTTCAGTAGTTCCTATGGTTACCAAAACATTTTTGTTTTACTATGAAATTAATATGAGACTCACTTCCTCTTCGATTCATCTGATAGAGAGTCGCATTCCGGAATAACATAAAACCAACGGAATGTGGATTACTTGAAACATATCTTTATAATACAGAAGATTTACGTAATTGATAACAACAAAAGCAAATAAATAGACATAAGAAACAAACAGAATGGCAATTCGATACATGAGAAATATATTAAAATGAAAATTGATACGAGGAACATACTTTGTGTTATAATCCTACCACACAATATGTTCATGACGTAAATTGTTTTTTCATCTTTATTTAATGAAACTTAAAATCAGCTTTGATAGTATCAGGAAGTTGCTTCACCGGAAGATCGCATATTCTTTATCTTGTCACATGGATGAAGCAAAATATAGATCTGTTCAAAAAAATAACGAAGCACAAAACAAGATGTACTTGTTACGTCCTGGATGAGAACACCTTATCCCCGTTTAGGGTTCCGTCCCTTTCACACCATCCCGATAATGTTTGTGTTAAATTTATAATGCAAGCGAGTGGCATATTTCAAAGAAAGAACAGGCATCCTTCTTTATCTGTGAATGTGTGAAAGTCCTTAATATCCAAACTCCAGTCGTTTGATGTTAAATAAACTTGACGATCACCTGCAAGTGAAAAAGAACACGCTCTCAATCCTTTAAACAAGATAAGACAAATACTTAAATTTATGTATTAATATTTTTTGTGAAAGAAGTTGAAAAATAAATGAAGATGTTGATAGTGGGTTGTATACTACTGATTCAATCATTTTCTAGTGACTTCTATTTTTGCTACTACCGTAAAGTTCCAAATTTTCAAGGATCAGAATTTTCGCGATTTCCTTTCGAAACGAACGAAAGGTATTTTAACGAATGCAAGTTTCATAATCTGGATATGATAGGATATCTAAAACACACATATATCATTGTTTCACGCATTAATTTTTATGATCACAATAGTAACCGTAACAAAAGCGAAAATGTCATTCTCGCGAAAATTTTTGAGCGATCTGAAGTCATTTAACCAAGTAAAATATTTCCATCGTCTTTTTAACATTACAGGTTTGATAGAAATCATTAACATTTATGAAAATCATTCTCATATATACACATTTTTATTAGAATATTTAATCAATTTAGAATTCAAATATCAAATATGAGTGAAGTATGTTCGAACTTTACAACAAAATCGCGAGAGGAAGAGTATTCTTAGAAGGTTAAACTTATTCTCGATCTGACCCACCGAGAAAAAATGCACTTTACCGATATGGATTGTAAGATTGAATTATATTTTTTGTACGATATAATACACCGATATACGTCCATTAGGCAAACTTCCCGGGATATCATTTTTGGCGAACATCTTTTCTCGAGTACTAATTGAAATATAATACCAACAAAAACATCTTTTGCTCAGTGACGCCCTGATAACAGTGCCTTACCGTGGAGTGTCAGTGTTTAGGTAAGATTGACTCCCATTCTCTTCAGGGCCAACATCGCATTCACCGCTTTCTGCAAATACAAGACGGATACAGTGATAAGACTGGAAGTGAGGTATAAATACTTACAACATTTATTAGGAACAGTAGCGGGTTTAGGTAGAACTCACATAGGGATTCATTCCATCTGATTCTGGACCTCGTCAAGTGTATTTATTTGACCCAGTTTTTTATATCTAGGTTAAGCATTTATTTCAATTTATGACTGTTGTTAAAGATTTGTAGAAAAGACACGCAAATGAAAAATAATATTTCAATACAAATTTAGAGTTAAACTAATCAAAAATTGCTTAAAAAGCACCATCAATCAATTTAGTCATTCTAAGACTCTTCAGTGATGTTTGGGATCAAACAATGTGAAAATTCGGAACAGAATTTCAAAAAAATTAAACTTTTACAAAAATATTTTTTTCCAAACAGTGATTGCCACTTATTAAATAAATTATCAATATGTTTATTAGTCTAATCTGATTATCTTAAGTGTCATGCGAACGTACACGTAACTTGAAATTCAACTGAAAATATATATGTGTGTTTTTCCTACATCAAAACGTTTTGGTTACCATCTATTTGTAAAAGAGAATTGTCAACTGCTTCAATAGTTCAATAATCACCCAATTAAAGTCTGCAACAGGGTTTAAGCTATTGGAAATTTACCTTTAATGAATGACTCGGACGTTTACAAACATGAACAAACAAAATATGAAAAGAATATGATTTCACGATTACAACACGAGATCCGTTTGGTTTTCAGGCAATTTCTTGATTTTTTCAAAGCAGGTTATGCCTATATTAAAATTTCATTCTTTGACACAACACGAAATGTTTTTAGTATGGTAAATATCTTTACCCGAGAATAAATATCAATATTTTGTCTTCGTATGTCAGTGAAAAATTGGAGTGTGATCTAATCAAACCAATATAACCAATGGATGTCTGAACGTATAGAACTGAAAGAGCTTTATCAATGTTTGCTATATATGTCAAACCTGGTTCACATGTACTTTGGAAATCAAACACTAGCGTTAATAAAAGGCGATCAGCTGTCATTTCTAATTAAACGTCCTTGAAAAGTCTATCCCCTAAAGTTAGAATTAATATTTTTATTTTTTTCATTTATTTCCAATTCAGATGAGTCTCTCAATCACTATCATTTTAGCGTTAATTAAAAAAAGTTATATGACACATGCGAAAAATGTAGAAAATACATCAGAAAAGGGGAATCTTTGGAACACCTCGAGAGCTTACCTAAAGCTACATTATAATTTCATTCTCTATCTGTAGCTAGAATTCAATATGCAACTTTCAGTGCTACCAGAATCGCGACGTAAATCAACATGTAGTATTACAACCTAAATCTACCGTCAGTGCTACAAATTAGATTATTTCTATGTTTTTTCTAGAAGTTTCGATAAGAGAGAATCTAAAACATGCATTTTCAAAAAGAACACTGATAAACTACTTTCACTTTTCATGTATTTAACATAACAATACACCAGTCTGTCTGCCAGCTGATTTATTCTTCGAACAAGAATTATTAATTCGAAGAAGGATGTTAGAAAAAAAGTCCAAAGCAACAGAAAAGATCTTCAATTTAGGTTTTAATTTCTCATTATAATTGTGTCCCTAAACCTAAAACTAGAATTAATGTTTTCTATCAATCATTTTATGAACGGACTTCATATGATAAAACTTATTCAACAGTTATGCATGTTTTTAGACGAATATCTTATGAATGTATGGTATCAGCACTTCCAGGGAGTAGCCAAATGATGGTCTAGATGGTGTTCCCAGTCAGTTTGTTATTGTTGATGGGGAAATACACAATTGAAATATATACTAAAGATTACAGCACACTGTTATAATGAAGAAACGTCTTTAAAAACACAATTAGGCCGTAATTAAAAAATATATGTTCCATAGGTTGAATATGAAGGCGACACAATGAGGGTATTATGTAAACATATCAACAATGAATCTGGAATGGTTTATACTTGGTTCTTTTGATGGGGAGGAAACAATCTGGTGACACTACATTTAATAAAAACAGTCATGGCTTACCTTTCATCAACTAATGCTACAAATATACATGTTTACACTAAAAAAGGCAAAAATTGGTGGCTACCAGTTAACGACGCACGCTGATAATAGTCTCACCTGTGTTAATACATGGCTGTAAAGAATACAAATGTTTCTGAATGGCGAGTACATCTGTAATAACCTAATCCATAATGATATTAAGACAATAGAAATAAATTCTAATCATAAAGTTGACTCATATAATTTTTAACGTTTTACTAAATGAATTTATCTCTAGAATATATGAGAACAAAAATCCTGCAAAAAAAAAGAAGAAAAATGTCCAAGAATGTTATTTTTCGCAACATTATCTTCCTCCTGATAAACTATTTATTCGCTTTTGTTGAAAATCATGATATTAATGTTGATTATTATATCAATATTTGAAAACAATTTGTATGATACAAACAAAAACAAACGAGTAACTATGGACATTTTCAAAATAAAGGACTTTTCAATAAGTATTTGAAGAGGTACGAACATCATGTACAGATTCGAGTAAAAACATGTAATTGATGATTGACGTAAATCATTACTTACAAACAGCATCCGTTCCTAACAATAACTAATTTTTATTACCGATGTAAAAGGAACCCCTGTTGTTTGTTTATTAAATAATGTACCGTTATGCCTTTGTTTCGATGGAGTCAATTGTTACTTGCAAATAAAGCGGTTAATGGACTGAAAGTCGTAATAAGCATTATTATTTCCCTCAGACCTTTGTTGTGTTCTGTCTACAATTCGCATCGGTTCAGCACAGCAAATGTAAACACTTTATAGCAACTTAACAACAGAGTGTTATATTTATAGTATGATCCTGGCGAAGTTGTCATGGTATTTTTTCATTTCAAAAACAGTTTTATCGCTTTAGTAAATTACATTTTTATGATATAAAGGCAAGAATTTGTTTTCAGCAAAAAAATATTTAAATGCATTCTGTTATTGTAAAGATCTCTATCTTCACGTTCACAAGATGAGGTACTAAAAATCATTGTGAAGGAATCTCCACACAAAGTCATGCGAGCAAAAATAATTCTTTTCGGGAAATTATCAACAGCAATTACAAAATTAAGTTTACATTAATTGAGAGTCTAGTCTTTCATCAAATGACCACTGTCCACTACAAGGATATCGTTCTTACCTGCCACTTTCGCCGGAAAACGAATTTTCTCAAACGTTTCTTTGACAATGACCTTTCGACCGTTACTTCTCTTTTCACAGACCGCTGAAATACCAAAAACAACGTTTATAAAGTTTTCACGTTCTAGTTCATTTCACACATATATGTCGAAATAAAATATAATGTTCAACCAATATGAAATAACAGTTTTTATTCAACCAATCTAAACGTCGATATCTAGAACGAATTCGAAATTTATTGGAAACATTTGTACTGCATCGCTATATCCGTCTGATTCTAATGGTAACATAATAATGTTCTCGGTAGTATCTGATTTATTGAAGATTTATCGGGAATAAAACCTACCCGAAGCCAACGGTGTTCCATACATTCCTTTGAAGACATACGCTTCCTGTTGAAGAAAAAAATGCATGAAAATAAGTACTAAAAAATCGCAATTTCTACATTTCTGAGAATATACTGGATTTCGCCATACATAAAATTGCTTTGATCTGCTAATGAAAAAATATCTTAAATGAATGTTTGTAAAGTTCCCTTGGTTCTATAAAAATCATTTCTCGTAGGTTTCATTATCTATTTAAGATAATATGAGCCATTTTCTTTAGGTTAACGATATGACATTTATTTTTCCTTTAAACTGTTTGACTGACTCTCTCATTTAAATAAAAAGTAGTATATTTTGTTAATAAATGTTTGATAATATTAATCCTCATTCACCTTACGATTGACTTTCTGGGTAGATATCAGATGAATACTTACTTGGGATCTTTTACCAGAAGATGAGAGATGAAATCTTTTGCATCCATTGAAATACTTTCAAACTCTTCCGCCGTGAAATCCCATTTAGCATATGTTACATTTACAAGTGTTTCCGCTTCCGCATCACCCATGAACGGAGATAAGCCAGACAATCTGAAACAGAAATAACATTGATAATGATCTGTATGCTAAATTGAAACACATAAATGACACTGAGGTGACGTTTTACACATCTCTCTAGATACAGCTTATCACAACCCCATACTCTGTATACATATTTATAGTTATTGGCGATTTGGCATGCACAGTATCACTATATCATGTAAAAAGTTATTTTGTTTGTTTGTTTTTTTATTTCTGTTTATGTTTACTGTTGATTGAGAGATATGTAAGTCATTTAGATATAATAAAATAGATAAATCTACTTAAAGTAACTAAAAATAAATAGAAAATTAGATTTGATGTTCTTTGAAGTATTTTGGTGTGTTAGTGATGCTTAAGTAACCAAGTACTTGGTGGTATGGTTCACTAGGCAACACAAAGTCACCCCTGTGTAAATACACTTCGACGTAGCAACGGTGAATAAATAACAATCCGTAAATATGTGCTCGTCGAATTGTGCAGGCTTATTGATAATTTCCTAAGTAATATTTTGTCTATCATTTGTCGGCCATTAGTTTTTTTATTTTACTTTAAACTTTTTCAGAAGATGTGACCATTTTTTCGTTTAATTTTCACTTTTGCAAATACTTATAGTAAAAAATTGAGAATATCTAATTCAGTTTACTATTTTGTTTTTTATCTTATAAAAAGGGTTGTAATGGAGTCGGATTTGCATGTGTGATTCCTGTTATGAAAGACAAGATATTACATATGCTGGAATGTTGTTTACTGTTATAAGATATCAGCATTGGTGATATGTTGCTGCTGGAATAGCGACCCATTTTAGTACATTACAAATATGTTATTTTGAATAGCTATGTAGCTTTAAAAACGAGAATCAAAGCCTAACTTCAGTTTATAATTACTATGAAATTGCAGTTAAGTTGATTGGGGCTAAAGTGGGAGTTAATATGATCACAACAGACTGTACTTGATGTTCCTAATCAGATTAACTATACTTTAAAGGGGTTTTCAAAAAGACTATAAACTCAGAAATGAACAAAACATTAGATTGGTGATGAAGGAGGGTGTGTTTAGATAAAGTTCAAATATGACGTAAAAAACATTCTTTGAATTGTCAGACGTCAATTATAAAATACCACTAAGAAACGTGTAGGCTACGCATTCGGAGAGTAAAGAAACATCATTTTTCTGACGTCAAACGTTACTTTTTGTAGACTGATATATGTTGCTATGTAATGACATTGGTGTGCATGTGTATAGATTTTTCACCTGATCTTTACAAACGCTTTGCTTATGTAAGTAAGCATGTTACAACAGGTGCGTGTTATCTGTTGGTCTAGTTAGAACCGAGGTGATGTTATCACTGTAGGAATATACGACCGGAACTGGTAAGGTTATATATACATACAATGCGTAAAGATGCACTTCTATATAAACATTAGAAGGCAATAAAATGATAACATTTCATTTCAGTGCTTGCATTTCCAGATCTGCACTTAAAGGCAGGTCATATAAAATATACAATGTCTTATGGATACTTGCTACCCAGGATCTATCAAGCAGATCTTCTCAAATGAATTTTACACACATATAAAACATTTTTATTAAGTCATTATTGTTCTTTTTAAGAATACTTTAAAAATGCAAAGATTTTCACCATAAGAAAAGTCCTTTACTTACAACACATAACATATCACGCCTACACTCCACATATCCGTGGCTGGAGACACGGGGTCATAGTTCACAACTTCCGGTGCCATGAATTCTGGGGTTCCAAAGAGAATCCGCAGCTCATCTTTAGGTGTAAAAGATCTAGCCAGTCCGAAGTCAATTATCTTTATTCTGTTTCCCTCTCGTGTTAGACAAAGGATATTTTCTGGCTGCAACACAACACATAACAACATGGATCAAATGCTATACTCATTGATAAAAAAGCCACAAAGTATAGTTCAATTAATACAACATAATACGTTTTCGCTCTTTGTCTGCTAGTTAAATACAGATTAAAAGCAGAAGATACACAGACGTGTACTGGCATGATTCTTTGAAAATATGCATATTTTTATCTGATGATGAATGAGCACATTCGTTATCTTCATTCAACATGGATGTAACCTAATGCACATATTTGATTTAATGAGCATTCAACATTCCCAACGCAATCACCACTATCCTCTTCGCAACTTCCAGTCTCTCTGATTATTCTGAAGATATATATATGTGTGTGTGTGTTTTTCTTATCTAGAACTAGAACTTCACAGCCTTCTGTTACGAGCAACTATAGAAGTAGTGCATGTCGATAGATATTTACAGAATAGATGCACAACAAAATATATTTATCTTTCAGAATCCAGGACAAAAACGGAATAAACACCAAAACGATATAAGTTGTGCTTATCATTGCATTAATTAATTGTTTATCGATATATAAACAACCCATGGTATACCTATAGTTTTTACTCATTGATCCTCTGTTTTTATAAATATATATTTCCCGAAAACCACGTTTTTTCCCTTTTTTTAAAAATATTTTCTGATTTGATGAGTTCGATGTTGAAGACACACGCCACCATTGTAGACTTCAAGAATGTTTCACGTGATTTGTCTGTAAATGTCCATCATCATGCGGTAAATTTAGTGTATAATGTTAAACGTCGGAGCAGTTTTAGGAATTATGTAAACAAAACGAAACAGGGTGTTGATTTGAAAAGTTCAAGGCGCCTGATAATTGGTAGTATTGAATGATAAGTCGACACGAGATTGCTAAGCTTTCGAATGTCAGGTTAAACCAGCTCTTAACCTCCGTGTACTTATTATAACTGACAACAATTATGGATACCATATGTACCGACACTTATCCGAAGGAAGCATCTCTGATAACGAGACTAGAGAGAAGATGGGATCTTTGATTTAACGTTCTTTTAGCAAAATATATGTTAAAAATATACATTCGAAACATAAACACGTGTTTTGCATTGGCTACCGAAATTCACTTTACGTCCCACACTCTGTAGCCATGTTGATGTACACCAGCTACTTGACCTTGACGTAAATATACTCAAGGTTAAAGTAACTAGGCATGGTAACCTAACTCAGCTACATGTATTAAACCTCAGAGGAGCAACCGTAGTCGTTTCTATTACTATATTTAACAGACGTGAAATGAGTGTTATCTTTACTTCCAGTTCAGAGGAAACGTGTTCAGTTTACAACACATCATGGTGCCGATATGCCCGTTAGCCTGTCTTCTAGCAAAGACAAGCAATACAAACATCTTGATGATAGGGATTTGGCTTCCTTTATACGAGAGTATTCGAAAGTTTTTTTGACGGATTTATCCGTTGTAAACACCGATAAACACCCAATAGAGTTTTCTTTCTGGTGTCTGTATAACTAAGGGAACGCTAATTGGTAAAGGGATAATAGTAAACAAAAACAAAAAGAAAACAATATCGTGTTTGTTTTGTTACTAACTTAACGTTTTATCCTCGCAAAATCGTAGGATGAATAATAATACTACGTATATACTTTAAATCAAACAGCTCAGTTTTTTCTATCAATATTCCTTAGATTTAGATTCTTTACAAACATATAACATTGTCTGGTAACTACACATCAAGTAAATCTGATAGAAAGATTTTAAGAAGATATGTATGAAGAATTAGAAACTCACCTTCATGTCTAGGTGAAGTACATTTCGTGCGTGCATAAACTCCACCCCTTCACAGATTTGCCTCATAAACATGACACAAGCTTTCTCAGTTAATATGAAATCGTCGTTTATTACACGTTCAAACAGTTCCCCTCCCGATATTCTGTAAACATCAACAAAATCGTACATTACATTGTTTGCGTTTTAAATGTAATAAAAAAGCCAGAAAATACTGGTACCTGGTCAAGCTCAAATGAAATTACAAATGCTACATGGAAGTATAAAGGGCAAATGCAACGACCTTATAAAGGTAAACAGAATATCACTATAAATGACAAAAATACAGATGAGGTTAGAGTGTCATGTCGATATATAACCGATATAATGCCACTCATGTCGATATATAGTCAATATACTGCCACTCATTTCTATATATAGCCGATATACTGCCACTCATTTCTGTATATAGCCGATATACTGCCACTCATTTCGACATATTGCCACACATTTCACTGGTCCAATTTAATTCATTTATACTGTTTCAATATTTATATATATAACACTGAACGGCAGTATATGGGGTATCGACTTTGGGTTTGTAGGTTTTCGTTATATCAAAGGATATTGTGGAGAGAAGTATAGATATTAGCTATGACTGCTATCTGTCTGTGGTGATATCAAAATTCAATATAATGTTTTCTAGATACAAAACGTGTAATAAAAACGAAGGCATTTGTAGATTCCGATGTCTTTTAAGTTACAAAGAATCTTTCTTGTGTAGAAATGGACTTTGCTTCCAATTTCATAAACGTTCACGAACGTAAAGATTTCCATTGACAAATCACATGACGTAAAGGAAATGTAATTGGCATGCTAATTTTGTTGGTTTCAAAGCGTAAAACCAAAGCGGTGAAGTTGAAATAAAATCTGAACTTGAACTAGGTTCATGGAAATTAAAGACACTTTCCGTTGTTGGTTAGAAGTTTCTGCTTTCTCTGATAATTCTCTTCAAAGGGATAGATGCTAACAACTTCAACAATAATATCTGTTTCACGGGACGTTCATCGTTTGTTTTTATGCATCATTACCTGACGTAAGGCAGCATAACCCACGCTCTCAATAAAATACAAGAACAAATGTATGCATTGAAGTATTGTTGTTATAAATAAGAGCAATTATTCTCATAAACCTCGCCCATTACACATCACAGACCTTATAAACAAGTAAACAGACACGCCCATATTGTCAAGATCAGGAGGTATAACGTATCTCAGGCCTCAAAACCCATTCATAAACACGCTGAAGTAACTATCTCGGTGACATCCATGACGCATCTGGTCTCATGATATAATGAATGTCATATCGGGTTATACATGGTGGCTTTTAACACAAGTGTTTTTTATATCAGGGTTGGTATTCTGAAATCAACAGCTCGTTGGTTGTTTACTTTCTCTCATCTGATACGTAATTATACAATTTAAAGATATGAAGCTTTTTTGTCTTCTTTTGAGAGAGTAAAAAACGTCCAAGATATCCTTAATATATTCTCTACAGATGAAATTATCAAGATTATGCCAACATGTTAACATAATCAAAATCCAAATTCAAATTTCAAAAGCTATGAACAAAAGAAAGATTTGCATTGTGACTCCTGAAAAAAAGTACATGGAGAATAAGAACACGTGTCCCAGAAGAGTAAGCGTCTTCTGTTTCATCAACGACATCCACCATGTAAAACTTGGCCAATCCTAGTATCAACGACATCCACCATGTAAAACTTGGCCAATCCTAGTACGAAATGTCATGTTCTCAAATGAGAGCAAGGTATAAAACGGAACCAAAAGACAAACTAATGAGCATCAAACATTTAATTTAATTGTAATAAAATTGGCGATAGCCTGTCAAAAATGAGAGCATTAATCTCCTTAGGCATCTAAATACGCAACTTTCAGTAAAAGGAGAAGTGAACATATAACCTATGTATACCGATAATGTAAAAATTAACTTATCTGAGAAGTACCTAAGGCGATACCGTGAGTTGGTATTGATATAAAAGCTGTTGATATTTATTTTTAGTGAACATGCCTGCATTTACTATCTTACGTAACGATGTTTATATTTGGGCTTTAGATATTTGAAAGTTGAAGTAGCAACGAGATATTGACGCTACAAGTCATATACCGGAACCTCAGATAGGCAATTATATACATACTCAAGCCGCCTATGACCTGTTTTATCTGATTGACGAAATTTCACTGAACGATGTATAATTTATCTAAAATAAAACCTAGAACTATGGAAGCTTAACACTCATACTAAAAGGCAGGCGTATTCATTTCCTCTGACCGACTGGGAATTTAATAGTAAATGGATGTAAAAAACAGTAGTTCATACATTCTTGCTAATGTCTTTCCGTCTTCAAATGAATTAAGAGTAGCAACTGCTGACAATTTATACTGTAGAGGATTTTTTCCTGTATAATAAGCATTTTATAATTTGATGATAGGAAACAATGAAATATATACCACTTATGTCCTTGTATTTGAAAACTAACCCCCAAAGTTTTTATCCTTTCATAAAACTGTTAATAGCATATTGGGAAATTTTTAATACGATACCAATAGTATAGGTAAGATAGAATAAATATCTGGACGTTTACATCTTGCTCGGTAGGACAAATGGGACAGCCTCTGATATCCAGTTACCACGTCTGATTGCAGAAAATATTAGTTTCTAAAAGTTTTTATTTATAAATGAAACCAATGCCTAAACTTCTAATTTCTTTAATAGGTCTGATTCTATACTTTCACAGGAATGGGAGAAAGCTAGGAGAAAAATATAGTAAAGGTTTCTTTACGAAACTTAGGTACTGATGGCCAGTCAAGTCTGGCTGTAGAGTACAGCATCCCACATAAAGGTGTCTTGGGTGTACATTAAAAATGTACTATCGAGGTTAAGACTATCACGTTCACTTAGCCTAGGGTAAGTGGTCACACGTGTATTGTGGGACCTAATAGGACACTTGGAACCCGGGATCTAACATAATACGTCCTCATCACAAAGGAATCGCATGACTTCTGACTTTGATGACCCCGGTTTATTAGCTAACAAACAACACATTGTGATTGTGTTGTCATGTTGTCGTTGTTAGTACATTGACCTACATATAGTAGAATGATTTTGTCAAAATCACGAATTAAGAAGAAAGATATATTATCATCAAATTAAGAATAGAGCTAAATCATGCACAGGTTTGTTCTTTTTAGGACTCGTCGGTGACGCGAAGACCATAACATGTTGAAATCAGAAAGGCGACTTTGTAAAGCTTAATTAGGAATATATAGATACTGAAATATAGATGGGGAGATCAGCAAATGTAATACTGATTTTGGGATACTGTAAAATTGCTCATTTTCGTGGGGGACTTATATTCGTTGAATTCGCGTGTACTTAAGATCCATGAATTTAAGTGTTCACGAAATGATAAACAGAGAAAAGTTGAAATAGATTGTAGTACCAGTGACTTTCGTGATCAACATTATTTCGTCAATTCAAGAACCGAGAAAACTATATCTGTTTTTGGGAAACAACAAAATTTTATCATCACGAAAACATATGATTTTTAAGTACTCCTTACCTCAAAATAATGATACTTATTCGTTTTCCTTTAACACTTCGCAATATTTCGATATCCCATTCAATGTACAGTTGTGGGATACACTGGATGAAATACTATCGCATATCTGTGTGCACCTTGTGTCTATCGTGGTTGATATAAATTTAGGAATGATTTATAGAAAAATGTGGTATCGGGTTTATTTATTTATTTTAGTTATCTATCTAGATATTTAAGAGTACACCTAAGTATATTTCCTAATATAGTCATAAATTTATAGTTAAACAAATGTATATCTATTACATACAGACTGAATAAAACGGACGTCCCTTTTTATCTCGACAGTGAATAATTCAAACAAACTAAAAAGCGTAACGTCAGAATAGAAATTTTAATTTCACTGCTGCATTACTTCCATTTTCTACTTATTTGTTAATAAAGAATATAAACTAAGATAGATTTTAAATATCGTGTTTGTTACACAGGACACTTTGCCGGTGAGGATACGGACTTGTCACGTATTTAGTCATATTCAAGAAAATTTTGTTGCCCTAAGCACCATTATTGAGGTGTGAAAGATAGAAAGACTAATCAATACATGAAAACGAAAACTGTCGAATTAAAAATTATCTTTATAGTCACCTATCTCATTTTACTTCTATTTAGTTTTCCGTTTAATTTCCAATCCGTAATATAACCCAACCCATGGCATGTGAAAATATCCGACGGCAGATATTCATAATCATCACGGTCTTGTTCATTTAAGCGTGACCTAATAACAGCGATAAATATTTTTTTAAATGATAACAGGTAGGAGAATAGTTTACCGTTATGTAAGTTGTGGAGCATTGCCTTTGACCTAAACATTTCAAACGTATCTCTCGACACACAAAGATGTTTCTTCAGACATTTTCTGTCTGTGAATCATGAAGCTTTGCCAGCGAACACTGCAACTCTCGCCAGCGTTTAGGGGCGTTAAGGACAAAACTTGGTCTGCTACTGTTGGCACCGTAACATTTCTGTATTGCATGGATGCTGGCATTTAATCTCTGTTTAGCATGGTGGCCTACAATTAGCAAAATGCCACTTACATCCGTTTGTGGCCTACTGCTACAAGCTTTCTGTTAAGGAAATACCGTATCTTAGTGTCCACTAACAGCAATATTCTGCATATGAATTTTATTATTTCCATACTGCCACTATCTGAGCAAAAAACATGCAATTAAATACTGCATAGTTTGTAATGTTCGTGGACGGGGAGGGGGGGTTAATTTCGATATATCCACGGTCAATAAATGTAACGTGAAATGAAATCCCCAGCGAACATTTTACAGCGTATAAAAGTCTCATAAATTATCTGTATACAATATGATAATCGTGATCTAGCTCAAACCGGGACAACCGCGAAATATTAGCCCCCGCAATTCAACAACTTTACAGTAACGCTGAAAGCTTAAATGACTTTTATTTTCGACTTCTTCAAACTTTCGCTGTTTAAATTTTTTTAATGGAAGTCAATTTATTTCTAAGGGATTATTCTATTCCTCCTCGAATATAGCAAATAACTGAATTTCTCGATATCATCATTATTCACAGTATGTAATACAGCTTTTTGTCGAATGATTTCGCCTTTTAGGGATCGCCACAGATGATAGGGACCTAAAGTATTGAACTCTAGTAGTAGGCGAATTAGGAAAATCATAATTAGCTAGAATGAGCCTAAAAACATACACTGAGAAATTCAATTGCACTTCATTTTATTGAATTTTTTAGAAGAGTGTACAGAACAGTTGAACCTCGTTATCTGGAACTCGTTTATCTCGAAGCCCCCGTTTTATTCCAAGCATTTCGTCGGTCCCTCCATAACTTTACACAAAACTCGGTTATCTCGGAGGTTTCACATGGTCCCACCGAGTTAGAGATAATGAGGTTTGACTATATTTGCATATCACGAATCCTGCCAGTATATTGCATGTTAGGTCTACAAGAGAGCAGTTTATCACCTTGTGTTATCAAAAGACGTTGAAGACAAGCTACTCTCTCAACGGCGCTAACAATCGTCTGCAGGCATCCCCAATTTCCAGTACGAACATTTTATGAAACGTTGTTTAGATAATTATCATAAATAATCAAATCACAGTTTATTATATTCTTTAGCACATCCAATCTATGCTTGAGCAACATTGCGATCAGGGATACTTAAAAACGTACCTTTTGTAGGTAGCGTCAGGACAAAGTTGAACTATATATACTGGCATTGGTATAAACGCTATAAACATCCCAAGGTACTACACAGTCTACTTATGTTTCAGGAGGTTTGTAAATGATAAAACAATCGTACACGATCTGTTTGAAATCCCATGCAGCTAATAACATAAAGGTGCTTTACACATTTCAATGCAACTGCGCAGACAGTTGGACTCATAGGAAGACCGGAAGTACTTGAGACGTCAGAGAAATGGAATCTTTTATTACATATTGTATTTCTCTATGGTGTTTTTGTTTTCTAATGTAAGCTTGCTCTCAATAGTTAACACATATCTTCACATATCCCCTCTTCCGACTTTCCACATTTTTTGCTCGAGACGTATTATAACTGACGAATCCTAAAAGGACGAAAAAATCCACATACATTATATCTACAAAGTCTGCATTGTAATTCACTTATGAACCTTTTATGAAAGTTCAATATCTTAATGATTTGAAGGCCGTTTGCAATATATAAATGTCTCCATATGTATTTACATGTTTGCCGGGGTTTCATTGCCCCGTGAACAATAAGAATCATTTTGAAGTCGGGTATCTGGAAGGAGCTGGTGGCTGACTCAATGAACAACATACAGAAGGCCCATTTAAAAAGTTTCAAATTTGACATTGTGTACATTAACTGACATTGTAGCTGTCAAAAATTTGCTATGTGTGGAAACAAGAAAACCTTTGAGGTTCTAGAATATTCTCCAAGTAATAAGCCTATTGCTTAAACTCCGCAGTCATAAATGAAGCCAATTATCAGAATTTGCGATTTCAGTGCAAATTGCAGACAAAAAGATCTTTGAAATCAACTCGCATGCACCAAACATTTTTATGTTTTATCAAACATGCACATCTTTTGAAGTAACCGTCAATGACCATGTACCACAACCGAGAAAAGTGAAGTGAGTATTACGAAAACCACTTACAGTTCTGTAACAAGGCAGAATTTGTTTTTGTTCTCGAATGCGTCATAAAGTTGTAGAAGTCTAGGGTGTTGTAAAGACTTCATTATGTCGAACTCATTCATGACATCTTTGCGCTCTTGTGGACCCTCAATTTCGATAAATTTCGCGGCTAGATGGCGCCCCGTTCGTTTTTCTCGACACTTCTTTACTTCTCCAAATTTACCCCTGTAAAAATGATGAGAAAACCATGATCAATGTTCTGTATTAAATTTTGAAAACAAATAAAGGAAATTCTCTGTATATTTTATTTTTAAAGTAATAACGAAAAAAAAGTTCATATGTAACAAAATGTTTTAAAGTTAGGAAAAATATACCTTTTTTTGCAACAGGGAAACATTATTTTTTTTAGTCAGAGACGCTTCAGGCTTCGATCCATGCGTGAATTTTGGTTAAAATTTAAACTTGATTTCTCGGCATGATTCTTTTAGTGATTACTGTTTGTCTAAAATAGTTTTACTATTTTTTTTTTTTTTTTTTTATCAAAAAATCAAGATTTTTTTCCCAGCTGATTGTAAGTATCAGTGGCCTTGGTGGTCAAATTAGGATCTTAAACGCACAAAAAATACTAACTTGCAGTATTTGACACGTCCGAGCCTATTATGTGTTATGAAATACAACAACTGACTTACCTCCCTAGAAGCAAGTCCGTGATGTCATAGTCTTGGGTAACCCATCGCGATGTCTTCACGTGCACGTCTCGTTTTTCAAACGATGACTCGTCCACTGAAAAATATCAGTTATGATCGATCTTGAAAATAGACCTTGTAATAACACAGTGAAATGGAAAAAAAATCCTTAAATACGAATTATCCATCAAAACAAACATAGAGAAAATGGAATAAGGCAACGAGAGAAAAGCTTCAGGCACGTGCTTTAATTTTTCTGCAAACTTGATGTTATTCTCAGTACAATAAGTGTTTTGCAAATGAATTAAAACTCATCAATTCACAATTTTTTTTTATATTTTTCCGCAACTATTTCAACTATTTTAAGCGGATTTCTGACAATTTTGTGCATTAAATCAACTCCGTCTACCACAAATCTTATGCTTTTATCACTAAAAGTTTGTATGATTTCAAACGTTAACATAGGTGTTCGAATAGTAAAACAATGAAAAACAATACCTAGTGTCCATCTGTATAAATATAATAAATACAAAATCAACATGACTATAACTACTATAACCTTTCTGATTTCAATAATTTAGATAAGATTTCCCACACTTTCTCCTTGTGTTTTTTAGATTTCTCACAATTTAAACAATTTTTTTTATCTACTCTGAAATACTATTATTTAAAATAAAACTCTCAGTATATCGTCGTTATAGCTATGTAAACAAAAATTGAACCTTCTTGACTTATATATGTCAACATTTTTATGCGGTGTTTAAGAAGGCTGGATTATTTGAATATCGAATTCATCCTCTTTTTGAAAAAGAGCGTCGCGCTACGGCTTCATATTAAGTATGTTTGGCTACACAATGGCCCTGCTAGGCTGAAGCTCAATCAGATGTAAAGGATGAGTAAATAAAGTATAGGCCAGAGGTCAACTCGAAACAAAGAGATTGTAGGTCACTGAACTGTATCATGCCATTACGTTGTCAAAGATGTCCGATTTCGTCATAGATTAAAACCTGTCTAGAATAAACAAGTGGTTGACTGATAATTAAGAAAGTCTTTAAAACACCAATATCAGCATCAGATCTATCAGCCAAAGTCAATATACCGGAGTCAGGCTTAGATCTTGTATGTGATTCATGAAGAAGTGATGTGCGTAGTTTCTTCTTCATGTTATATCCGTGACTCGTGTTGAAGCGAAACAACACAGCGTTGTTTGTTTGAACATAAATCAAACACTTCAATCGAGCTCAGATGCAGCTTTATCAACAATATTTATTTGTAAGAAAAATGGCATCCTTGATAAACAGGGGCTACCATCATTTCCGTACTCTGCACCCCTGGAATAACTCAATATTGAAGGTTCCTTGTGCGACATCTTGCTGATAAGACGAAAAGACTAGTTTGACACTTTGATGTACATCAAAGGAATCTCGAGGTCGCATAACGATATATTGTGATGGCTTTGAAGTCGGGTGTTGCTCTTATGTAATCTTAAAAATGAGCGTATCACCCAGTGATTGGTTGTTTTTGGAACCAATCAAATTACTGTGCCGTCAATTTTGCCAAGACATGTTTCAGGGGTTCAGAGAACGAAAGTGATCGTAACCCCTTTAGAATCGAGGATGGAGTAAAGGTTCCACTGAAGAACTGATGTCTTCTTTGAAAACATAACCATCCCAATCTAAACGCATAACCAGGTACGCCTATCAACAACTGTTGACGGAAATACTAACACGAAAGATGCATGTTGATGGAAAGTATTCTCTTTCTTTGTACATTATGAAGTGCTCGGAGATAACATGTAATTAAAACAGTTCTCAAACGAGAACGTGCATTGTACCACTGACCAAGATTTACATAACAGGTGTCGTCGGTGAAGCAGAAATGCTAACCTCGGTAGGACACCTATTTTAGTTTGGGTGGTGTAATTCTTTTCAATACGCTTATTTTGTCCTCGTTTTATTATATTTGGTAACTCATTGAAGTAAATCTTTTTCCTCAGACAGTCTTGAATTTATCCATCCATGGATTTTTGAGTTACTTGATATGAATATATTATTCGCAGCACGGTATAAGATCGACAAGACGCTTTATTGAATGGGTAAATTATCAGGGTTATTCATACTTCTGTGTAACCTCAACAAATACTCTCCAAACGGAAAAAATCGTTCTGTTCACAGCGCAATGAGTTCGGTATTTGCTACAGTTACAATACCTGAGAGCTGACTAGGCAGAAATATACATATATTGTATGTTAGGAGGAAAGACCAAAGTTTGAGTAGAACAAAACCAGACGACCACGTGAGCTACAACCAACCTAGCGAGACTCTAGCGGTGAATTTGGCAGCTATCATTAAATGTGAAGGTTATCCGAGTCACAAGGCCGCTTGTGATTAAGGGAATGGGTTCATAACATAGATTGTCTACCTAAACACCTACTGACAGGGAAGTGTTATATTACCGTAATTTAGAATATGTAATACTGTAAAGTCGGTTATTTTCGCGAGGATGATATTTTCGCTGTATCATAGTTAAATTAACGTGATCGCGAAAATAAAATCAGTGAAATATTGAGACACGTGTGTAAAGATGTGTTTTTTTACATCAAGATTGCGAAATTTGTATTCGTTAAAATATGATTCGATCGATTGAAAAGAAAATCGCGAAACTTTTGACCCGTAAAAATTACCAGTTATACAGTATATACAGATGTATGTATATACATATAATAAGATAAATATGTTATCTCAGTGCAAAATAAACACGTGTTAATTGCATGTTTTAAACATACCACTGTGTATTACACTACATACATGTATATGTGTAACAAACATATGTATAACTTACACTACACGTGTTCTGAGATTTATTTATTTTTTTTTTTTTTTTTTTTGTGAAAAAAGAATAGATAATATTTCTCTGGTACAATCTATAAATGTATTGAACAATCTGTTGGAATCATGGGTTTTTATTCCTGTTAAATATAAATAGCATTCCACAACCTTCGTGCAGAAAATAGGAAAATAGTTCAGATAAAAATGTAAATGATTCTTCATTTTACATGGTTTTTGAAATTCTATTTTTCTTTTTGTTCGTAATCTTGAAAAGAATGAATGCATTTCACTGATCAAAATTACAGAATCAGCCGATAAAATCGCATATTAACAATTGTTAATTAACTTTTAATCAAATACCATCAGCTGTATAATTATATTTCCGATCAAAGCTCAAATTAATAGCCAATTGTTAAACTTGACTGTCAAATATTCAAACTTTGAATGGTAATAAAAAAGAGAATACTTTCGTCAACAACATATTCTAGCATACGATGATAATATTGTGTCCAGAATGTAACTTATCTCCATTGACCATCCCCGAAATCTCCTTACAGCGTGATATATGTATCATTAGGTAAAGAGACCAAGGTGCCTTGCCCTGATTATATTTACACGTGAATACGTGACATAGTGCACTAATTACTTAAAGGCCCTTAGAACAGCACGCGCTAATCAATTCCGCGTAGGCGTTTATCACTCATTCATAACTCAGGCACGCGAGAAAGCTCCACACCAGGGGGCCGAATACTTGTTCGTTGACGTCGCCCTTACTGACGGTGCAGATTTTTTCCTGTTGACAACGCGTAAAACAAATTATTTCTGTCGAGCAATTATTTCATACAGAAACACGAAGTTAAGACGGTTTAAACGAGTTCCGCATTAGCGTTTCAAAAACCAAAAATTTTGACTGATAATCTTATTGCTAATAATGTAATGACAATTGGATTAAACATGTAATATTCTGATTGAAAATAAGCTAATTTCTGTTTAATAGGTTTGAACTATATAGATATATTCAAATTTGATGATCAGGCCCCATTTGTATAAAACATCTCAACTTGAGATTTCCTCAAGTCGAGATTTTCCTCAGCTGATATCTCCTCAAAAACGGCTTATATAAAATTTTCTCAAGGAACAGGAGGAAGGCATCGGCTAGGATGTCCTGAAATTCCTTGAGGAATTTTCATACAAGATATTTTCAAGGAGATATCAGCAGAGGAAAATCTCGACTTGAGGAAATCTCAAATTGAGATGTTTTATACAAGTGGGGCCAGTTATATATTAATTTGAATTTTATCTTTTTGCAGCATTTTGTGAGCCCTTCATTTGGTGAAGATTTTCCAAACGCCATAGTTATCATATTGCATTCATACGCCCATGAATGCCATTGCCGTTTTCATCACTGATTACATGTTCCGATTTCAACCCTGTTAGTGTGTATTTGTACCCGTTCACTAGGTTCCGCTTGGTTCCGCTGAATAAAACAGAAGACGGTCAACATATCTTTCCAAATCGGTATAAATGTGAAAAGCTGTTGGTACTTGTGGAGACCTAGATGGTAAGCTTGTTATTCATAAACACAATCTAGAAACAGTGTGACTTCAACGATCCTCCCTCGGTGATATTTTCTCTCATAATTCCCATAACTGCACGCGCGGGTGTACACATAACAGGCGTACTTACACACACGGGAACATGACCTGCCATGTAACCTTTTCATGAGTAACTCGTGAGGGGCACGCGACCGGGAGGCCTAAATCTCTTTGTTATTTAACTCGCCAAGCAGTGGATGCTTATGTGTAATAGATTGCACACTCGTACCAAGCGTTTTGTGTTTCATTATATCCAATGGTAGCTCCAGACATATACACAACGTACTGGTCAGCAAACCGCTCTGATTTCAATTTTTGAAACATTACATTTCCTGTAATCGGAAGTCAATAAAAAGAGAACCCGTTCAGCCGTGAAATAAACACATTCATTATTCTAACAGAGGGTCAAAATGCTTCCACAAAATCGATTATGTATGGAATTTGAAATAAAAATGAACCGTTTCTGTTTTCACGATATTCTACGTCTTGGTCAATAATATAAAAAATATATAATGACGGCGACAAAATGGCGTGACGTCACATTAAAATTAATTTGATATATCGATATCAGGTAATAATGCAATATTACCCAACTCCTCTTTTATTTATCTTTTTACTATGTTTTACAATGTTTGAATATAAGTATGCTCCAATTTGAAAAGCTCAGTGGCAGGAGGAATGGAATTCCTATACCAAAAACTAATTGCACTCCGTTAAACCCGTTATCGGTGAATGGTCTCCAGGCTATAGAGACAACCACCGGGACGAAGTTGTCCTTGCCCGTCTTCGGATGGGTCATACATACCTTACACATTCATATATGTTGCAAGGCGAAGATCATCCTCGGTGCGTAGGATGTGATGAGCCATTCACCGTTAAACATTTTTTATTGGACTGCATTGACCTTCTGTCTACTCGAGAATGTTTTTAACGATGTTGGTCTATATAATAGACTATGACGTACCATTTCAATCTTTTGTGTTAACATACCCATTTAAGATTTTTAACATTTGTCTTTTACCTTTTGGTTTGTTTAATGTTTTTTTCCTTTTGAATCGCTGTGTGTTTTACCGTTTGATGGCCCTAATGACCTTTTATGTGTTGACGGGCCGTTAAGATTGTAATAATAATAATAATAATAATAAGTTCAATCGGTAGTTTATTTCATGAACGATTTTCATATCAAACTTAACCTTAGCAAGATAAATCGGTTCACAAAATTCTAACCATCCATGATGAAGCCGTGCATTAAGTAACATAACGGATGATTGAGTTTGTTTAAAGAAGACACACGCCTTCTGTATTCGAGACTGTAAAACGTAGAAAAATACGTGTGCATGTTCAACACAGATGTCGAAACAAATTTTGCGAACACTTAAAAAATTCTTAATCCCGTTTCGTTAGGTTGTTTTTGGTTCATATCACGAACATATGGCTACGAGTCATGGCCGTGCACAAATCGGCCTTGACCTCACGGTAATGCACGGGCAATGTTTGCTAGTAGTTATCTTTCGTTAGACCGTGTGGTTTGGCGGTGTTCGGCACATGGTCGAAATTAATGAAAGTAAGGCCGCAATTAAATAAGGTCACAGCTGCCAAAAATGTATCAACGAACCGTAACTAAACGTAAAAACCTCAACAAATAACGAATTGTAATCACGAGCACACATAAGTACGAATTACATGTGTTTCTTGTCGTAAAAATATTTTTCTCTTTTCAAGGAGAAAAAAAAATCTTCGACTGTTTATTATCACGTGACTTGTCAAGGTTACTGCACACACGTATTGACATTAATTAGTGAGACTAGAACTTCTGCCAGGAATTCTGAGGTTTTTGGACCTCACAGGCTATTGTGTCAATGGACGACATCTGTATCTTAAAGTGGCTGCTGCATTAATGTTTTCTTTGTTAGAGCATAGCATGTGTTTTGACATACGAATATGCAAAACAAAGAAATTTGCGGTGCATTGGAAAGGTCTTTTTAAGTCCCAACAACGCAGTTTGAGTGGGGGGGGGGGGCTTATTGTTATTGTTCTGTTTCTTTGTTATGATTCTTGTTATTCTTCCGTCTTTTGTTTCCGTGGCTTATGATCAGTGTGATGTCTAGTTGTGCATCTTACTTTTTGCTTGTGTCTGACTTCCAAAATGTCTGCCGCACGCTCTGATTGGCCGAAAACATATCTACCAATAAGTTTTGTTACGTGATCAGTCATAATGAAAGATTGCACATGGGATTAATATGTGACAGCGAACGATTCTAAAATAAATAATCGACATTTTGTAAAAAAAAAAAAAAAAGGGGGGGGGGGGGGCTGCCAAACGCAGGCTTTTGATCGGTCGAAATTCAAATATTGTCTGATTTCCATTTGTATGTAGGATTATTATCAGACATAATATCATACGATTTCCATGAAATTTGGTACATTGTATGTAACCTGTTTCACGTTTAAAGAAAATGGCCACCATTTTTCTGGCCTCTGATTGGTCGAAAATTAAATGTCATCAGATTTCTTTGAAATTTCTTATGTAGAGTGTTCATGGGACACCTTTCACTTTCGTATAATCAGATTCACATTTTAAAGAAATGGCCGCCATTTTCTTGGTTGACATCTAAATATCGTCCGATTTCCATGAAATTAGTGTATTTTGAAACCACGAGCCATTTAAGAAGGACCAGGCAGTGTTCAGGACGTATTGGGGGGATGACTTCCGCTATCGTCCACATTGCAGTTCTAGTTACTATTAATTTGTTTTTATCTGTTACTTTCAGCCATTTTTAACTGCGTATCGGAAGTTCTCTAACGTGATGAAAATATCGTTCTCTGATGTTGCTTTCGTTTCAGCTTATTTTTGCGATTGTATTACAAATTAATAAGAAATCTTTAATTTGATTTGACGGAATCAAGAAATGAAATAAATAAAAAAAATGATTATATAACACAAACATATTAGATAATTAGTAATTCAGTCAATAAACAAAAAAATAACACATATCTAAACAAATGTAAATAAATTTTCACGAAATAACATGATGAATATATTTGTACTTTTACATAAGATAAGATTGGCTTAACTCTTATATGTTACGTCTCTTTGGTTATACATGATGTGATTTAGGCGATATGGTTAACATGCCATCCTCACGAGATAGCAATCATGAAAACATCTTATCTTAATTTAACCTAATAATCTTGAATAGCTATAATGAAAAAGTATCTTAATCGAAAGCAACCATTGGCAGTGATATGAAACCATGCATGATTTCGAAAAGTGCAAGAGACCTCTACAGAGAAGTTGCGCTTCTGCAATCTAAATACTTTCTAGATGCACAACATCCCGTGATACTTTAAAAAAGTGAAATGTATATTGTGTGTGTATTTTTCGTACCAAGATGGTTCCATGGTTTCGTGATCAAGTAAAGTAATCTCCAGCCACAAGGTTGTGCGAGGAAGGTGTTAACAGATGCAGGGGGTCACTCAAGGGTCACTCAAGGGTCTGTCAAGGGTCACGCAAGAAGCTTATCATATATGTGTCATAACATAACCTCATATTATGATCATCATGTAGGATGGACTTATCTTTATGTCTTGCATAATTATTTGTTTATGTTTATAAGATCTTGTGTGTCTGTTTAGCTCTTTATCACCACCGGGAGATACCATTACGCGAAAATGGCCATCGGTAGGGTACATAACACATAAAGTGCATCAGCTAACGTGAAATTACTGTATGAAATGGTCGACATTCACGAGCACATGCACGTCCAGTTCCTCACTAATAAACTATCTGTATACAATTTGTTGTTGTTTGCACGTAATGGGGGACTGGTGATAAACACTGGCCCGCCTACTATACATATCGCCATCTGGTCAGCTCATTTCGGCTCCGGATGGAGTTATGGCCGGAGGGAATGGCCGTTCGCTGCAGGGCCAAATGGACGATTGCGCGTGCTTTACACGTTCACACAACCATCACAGCGAGGCTGTGATTGATGACCCATTCAGACAACACCTCAACAGAGTGTAAGACGTTAGGGGACTACCCTGCCAAGAATGTTAATCGTTATGCCCTCGACTCGTATTCAAGAGATGAACATATACTACCTGCTAAATTGCTAGCCATCCAAAACCAAAGGATAAACGTTTATTTAAAACCCCAAAAACACTTTATTTTGAGTCTGTAATTTTCTCTGCTTACAATTAGGTGTAAAATATTTTGTTTTATGTGCAAGCAATTTCGTATAATGCGAGTTTCTATTACATTAAGTAAAATTGAAAACTTCACTCTTTGTGTTTCTTTGTTGCTATTTTAAAACACAAAATGTCTAGTTTTTAAAACATGTAAATAAGGTTGTCGTCGTACGAATTAAGGCATAGTTGATTGTTTAACTTAAAATGAAAACTTATCTTAAAGTTTAAATAGCTAACTAATCATTTGGCAATTTGGCAAAGTCGTGTCACATTTTAAACTACTGTAATGTACGAAGGGGCGATTTTCAGTAGGCGCGCACGACAGAAAAAAAGTGGTATCACATTGTGGACAATGACGGTACGTCATGAGTTGAAAATAGCGCAACAATATGGCTGTCCCATTTGATTTTGTCCTCCAAATTTTCACTGTATTTTTAAAAATTGTGTGATAAAAATAAACTTTTATTTGTTTTCAATTATTATGAGCTTTAATGAAATTTGTCTCGAAATAAAAATAAAAATAAAGATAAAAAAACTCTTCTAAAACTCGTTCTAAAAATCTCATATGAAATGAAAAATCATTTGAGATTCAATATAAAACGATATTATATATATTGTGATTATCTTATTTTTCAGTCACGTACATTTAAAATCATACGATTTTGTAGTATTAAATTTCATGATTGATTTTGTTGCTGTACATGTATCAAAGTGTATTTATGTCTGCCTTGCTCTATAAATTTACATTTGATAGCAACAGATTTTTCAAATATATATATTTAAAACAATTATCTTTACACAGTGTTGGAACAGTGAGGAGTTCAAATAAACAGCTATATCATACCGGAAGCAATAGGGTGCATAACTTAGACGTCATTGACAACGCGAACAGCAACAAAAGAATTATTTTTTTTTTAACTCCATGATTCAATTGTCAAATTTATGTTTTTAACTTTTTGCAAATACTGTACATATCCCATGTAGCATTACCTCTCGATATCTGTCTATTAACATTTAAGCATTTTCGTTATGTACATTATAAGTAGACATGATAGATTGGTACAACCATGTAAAACAAGACAAGATCATATGCTCTTGCGCATGCCTGTTCGTAAAATGTAAATGTCACTAAATACAAACAACGCAAGTGGTACGTGTAGGCTTTTTTGTGAAATTGAAAACTTTAAATTATCTTTATTATTTTAACAGTTCCATAGCTACTTTACATCGTTCTTTGCTGACAGACGACGCGGAAATTGCATAATCATTAAAACTGCGTAGAGTATTTACAAAAACTGAACTGAACTTCACTAAAAGGTGTTTGTAGGGACGGAAATATTGGGAGTTATTTAAAGTCTTCTTTGCAAGTTAGTGCGGCTGCGAGAATGTTCTTGGCTTGTAGTCAAGACCATACATGCACATACCTGCAGTTGGTTCGCTCTCGTCGACATGCACCTTGGTGTATTTTTGCATCTTTGTTGAGTCCAGGACCATACACCTGAAATCCAACAAAGAAAGCCATTATGAATTATTACAATGTTCCAAAAATTTAACATTTATAAAGAATTAATATGAAATTGCTGGTACATACCTACCCACTCCCTCTTCCTATCCACTCCCTCCTCCTAACCACTCCCCCCTCCTACCCACACCCTCCTCCTATCCAACCATTTCCCTATCAACTCCCTCCTCCTACCCACGCCGTCCTCCTACCTTCTAACTCATTCTAACCACTTCCAAATCCTGACGACAACCTATAATTAAAATTGAGTGTACAGATCATAAAGGTAAACCAGAAATACCTACCTCGGTACACAAAACTAGGGAAAGATTGTATGAATTCTGTTATTTGCTATTTTAAAATAGGTTCGCTTGTCGTGGCACTTAACATTAAGGAATTAATTTCTGATTGGAATACTTTAACATTGTAAAAAAAGTAATAGTTGTACACATGTACACAACACAGTGAAATACCAGCGTGAAGCGTGCTGCTTATCACTATGAGATCAGACTGAATCGTTGCACTTAGCTCTGAAAATATATTCATGAACAGTGGTTCTTAATATTATGTAATAAGTTTAATTACGCACGGGGTTCTTCATGTTGTTTCTGAAATTTAAAAAAATCCTGTATTTTGACGAGTGTTTGAAGATTCAATTACAAAATATTTTCAGTTGAACAAAATAAAAGCGGCGTGATTTCTGTTTTAGCCCTGATAATTTTTGAGGCGCCATACGAATATCGTCCTTTGATGCGCGCTATAAACAACTACTTGTCTCAAAATCGACCTGTATGATTGTAAAACTGATAATGAAATTTAGTCTGTATCATCGTAAAAGTTACCTGATACCGTACTGCTCGGTTTGTTAATTTCGGGAGTTTGTCTGACGCCAGTAAAACTGTGATATGAGGGTATACAAAAATGATTTCGTTGAAAATCATACAATTCAGATTTAAAGCTTATAAAAAAAGATGTATATATGCATATAAACGATAAATTGGAAAATATCTAACGCCCATACTCCTATATTGTATTATTCTGACAAACCTCAGTCAGTGGTTGCGCAGTGTTGATATATGTTTCGTTACATGGTCACGTCGTCGAAATCAATATCGGCATATTCAGTTTTATAGACAGACATTATTATTATTTCGAAGTTGATCAAGTCGGCAAAAATAATGTAAAAATTGAAATTTTCGGGGTATGCTTCATATTTGCTATCCCTGAGATGATATAAAATTGCGAAAATAAATATCAGCCCCACAATGCTATGCAGAAAACAATGATCAATTCCATGCCTTCTGTTAGAAAATATAACTTTTTCTTCAAGTTTATGAAAAAAAAAAGAAAAATGAAAATTTTCATAGTGTATCGCTATAAAGCAGGATCTCTCCCTAAACTCCATTTGTAAGATTTACCGATGCGATAGAACCGTTTGTGATGAAATATTACAGATTGGTCAGAGATATCAGGATTACCTTGTAAAAACGGGATGTGCGAAATGAACAAGTCTGGTAAGAGATAAAAAAAATTCTCGATAAGCATCTTTAAACGATATACGTCTAAGCATCTCAAGAATCCTTTCGATCACGTGACCTTACCGGAAGTACAAGACCTACCCACATTCCTTTCAGCAGATAAAATTTAGTGCACAAGAACTTCAGAAATTGAATTCTAAAAACAACTCATGGTGTTAACCTCTATAGCAAGTACGTTAAGATAGCAATTATGTACTATAAATAAGAGTTTGGACTCTAATTTTAAATCTACACTTTAAAACCTCGTGTTCATGTTTAGAAATACAATTGGGAATTCAATTGACTCTATACATGCAAGTATTTAGATCTGACTTTAAAATATTTTGAACACTGGCAAAAACATTTCACAGAAAAAGAAATAAAAATCGTTATATTGCCATTTGTCAAGAGAAAAGATTTTTCTGTGAAGGAGGATTGGTCATTTATATGGAAAGACAGGTAGTATAGAAAAATCACCTCAAGATATAGCGGAAGTTTGGTAGTAAGTGAAGTGACAGACGTAACAAGGACAATATATCGAGGTTAGAATGTATGAAGGATATACAGAGATATACAGAGATATTTTGTAAAAAAAGTCACCAAATCATGTGACATTTTCATTCTGACAAGAACAAAAATATAGATAACATGAACTTTATTCATTTTACAACACTTGCAAAACAAGAATTGGTCCAGATTGAAGCGTGCGAGGGGTCTTACTGTGGAAGGTAACCGGAGTACCCATTGAAATCCTAGGTGGTAAGTGACCCCATACCTTGTCTCGTCCTTTCAGGGAATCGAACCCCGGACGATGATATCCGGTAGGGCGATTATCATATAGATGAACTGTCATTGTAACGAGTCCTTTTTTGTTACATAACTTATCTAAGACAAAGTAAATATTGGGGGTGTGGAACAAGCAAGACGAGGGGAAGTCACAGACACGGAATTAATTCAATTAAGGACCGGTTAAGTCGGAATTAGAGAGAGCGAAACCCGAAAACCTGTGTATTTACTACAGTTGAATAATGGTATATCGGCGAAAATTGTATATCATTATTAGTTAAGCCTGTTTATTACGCAGATTCTGAATAAAGAATCAGTTGTCCTCAAAAAGCAGAAGGGACATGGTTTAGTTAAAACATTTTTGTGATAACAAAGTGGATGAACTAACCTCTTCCGCAGAGATAATGTTACGTTTCGATTTATGTTTTGAAAAATACAATTTAACGGAATTCAAGTCGTCCTATTTCTCTTTATCTAAATTACTTGACATGAATTATTCAACCCAGATAAATAATGTGTCTGCTCGACCGAACGATCTCGGAGTTCAACAAGTTAGTAAATATCTGTCCAGACAGTCTCGAAATATCTATATAGCAAACAATCTCGGAATCTTAAATTTCAACAGTAGTACCGTGTGGAATAGCGTTATACCAAACAATCTCGGGAAGTAAATTTTCAATACTAGTACTACGTGGCCTGATACCAAACAAAAACTCGAGATTTAAAAAGTTGATACTACCACCGTATCGAATAGCAGTGTACCTAAACTTCTCGGATTAAACAAACATCCAACAACCTGAGCGTTTCTAAATTCAACATGTCTTCTACTTGATATCATAACAATCTTGGAATCGCCATATATTATCCTCTATATTTGCAACACTATGTGGAATATTTTTTCCCTACGATCTCGGAATCTAGCTCAACACTACAAGGAATATCAGCGTTCTTCACAATCTGGGATCCTAGCCCAATACTATGATGGATATCAATTTTTCACTATAATCTCCGAATCTAGCTCAACAATAGGAGGATTATCACTAAAATCTCGGAATCTAGCTCAATACTTTTGGGATATCAATTTTCACTATAATCTCCTAATCTAGCCAATCTCGGAATCTAGCTCAGTTCTATGAGGGATATCAATTTTCACTATAATCTCCGAATCTAGCTCAATACTATTGGGTTATCAATTTTCACTATAATCTCCGAATCTAGCTCAATACTATTGGGATATCAATTTTCACTATAATCTCCGAATCTAGCTCAACAATAGGCGGAATATCACTAAAATCTCGGAATCTAGCTCAGTTCTATGAGAGATATCAATTTCCACTATAATCTCCTAATCTAGCTCAATACTATTGAATTATCAATTTTCACTATAATCTCTGAATCCAGCTCTATATAGAAATATCATTATATAAAGGTAAACAACTATCTCGGAATTTGCGAATCCGAGACGGTGTTTCATTCATGTAAAAACTCGGGAAACCACAGACGGAACATAAGGAAATCCCAGCGGTATATCATATACTTTGTAAGTAACTGTATCTTACTTATCGGTTTAAGTTATGTACGTTTATCTGTTAACTTGTCATACATACGCTTGTCAGAAAACAACATCTAAAAGTTATCAAAACGGGTCTACCTGTATCGCTATTCACGTGTACTTGGCACTTACAACAGTAAAATTTACAAGCGAGAAATATTATATACATATAAATATCTTTGTATCAACAAATCTCTTATCTGTTTTTTTTTAAAATGACAAGAGATTTTCTATATATAACCTGTGAAATCCTTAAATAGGGATGTTTTTCGACGGCCGTATAACTGGTGCCTTTCCGCTCTACATACAGAACAGAATATTTGTGGTTTCTAAACACTGGGAACGTGCCTCCCACGTGCGCGTTTTCGCGTGTTGGCAGACTACAATATGTGGGCCCTGTGGACTTTTGAAGATTTTCCACTTTTAGAAAAGGGATTGGTTTTGAAACAGTCGTAAAGAAGATCGCGCTATGTCTAGACCATTACCACGGAATGTCATCCGATACCGAGTAAACTTAATATATAATATATGTGTTTTGTTTAATATAACAGATAGTCGAGGTTCACGTTGTGTTTGAGTATTCCATAACCTCAGGACGAGGCGGAATTTTATACAAATCACCTCGCACTCTAGGAATGAGTTATTTCGTTTGATCGCTGCTCATAGCACTCCCTTTGATGGCGTGTTAACACCCCATATATTTTAACGCTATTACACGACCTCTGACCAGACCATCGGCTGACAACTAGCCCGCTTATCATATATAGACCGCATACAACGTTTTAGACTCTGTACGCATGACCTGAAAATTCAGACAATCTTTAAAGTAATAACGTTATTGAAAACGACATATTTTTTTCTACAAATGTTTTTTATATGATGATGTCAGAGAAATGTCGATATAATTAATTTAAATATCTCTGAAATTATACAAAAAACTTGTCTATTTTTAAAACAGTCAACTTAGCAGACTGGATTTGCGTTCCGAGTAATCTAATACTCTACCCATTTTGTCAAATCGTTACATGTTTGTATATCAATTGCCATCAAATTACTCATGTTATTAGAATGGCGCAATAAATATTTGAGTTGTGAAAAAAAAAATAGAAAAACAAATACCAGATGTAGGTTATCTGCCGCTAGTTCGAAACTTCGATTAGTTAAAAAAACACCAAGTGACCAAAGTTGTAAATGTAATTTTTACTGTAGACAGGGAGCAGATTTTGCTTCGGATCCTTCACTGTCCCGAGTAATCATTATCTGACCACCTTGCGGGTCTAAGGTCTCGTGATTGTCAAGGCTAATTCATTCTGAGAAGGGTTATATTTAGTTCCCTTAACTAAACGTGTTGCTTTTACCCTCATGATCATCATTCTTCTTCTTCTCTTCTTCTTCTTCTTCTTTTGGGTGTCGCAGTGGTAACGCACTCGCCTTTCACCTAGCCGTACGGGGTTCAATTCCCGGAACGGACGTGAAAAAGGTAACAGGTCACCTGCCCGACCACGTGGGTTTCCGCCGGGTACTTTGGTTTCCTCCCACAGTAAGACCCTTCGCGCGCTTACATCAATGCAAACCAGACTATAAAGACTATATTTATTCTTCTTTCAGGCAAACCGGTAAAAATATTTATATATTGATGATAAATGCATGAAATCAGCGTTTTAATTGAATAAAAACCGCCAGCAGGATCCATCAAAATAACATTAGGATATAGATACAAGACCGTAAATATACATACTGCTAAACACAAATTCCGTCGGTTGGAAACTACATTCAGACGAATAAGATTTATTTTATCATCGCAGTAACAGATTGTGTTTGGTTTATCAGTTAGATTACAATGTTGACAAGATGGTTCACTATACAGTTACGGCACCGTGGTTTTATCGACTGTTTGCTCCACAGTACATGAGCAGTTAACCCATAAATAACGCGGGTACATACATGTTGCTTAAGGGAAAAAGTAGTCGATAATTTTCTGGTGTTTTCAACGGTCCTTGTTAAAAATAATATAGCTACAGCACCATGAAGTTATCGACTCTCGTTACGTAAGGAATAAGTAGTCGATAACTGATAGGCGTTTTCAATAGTGATTCAAACAAAATGGTGGCTTATGTCCGACCAGTTGTCTTGAATTGGGATTCAATAACGTATAAGTCGGCAAGTAAACCTTGTACAGCGCCCCCGTGTGGTCAGAGCATCTAATGTAATCATGCTGTACTCAGAAATTTATCGTATATTTGGTATATCATTAACATAGAAATTATAAATATTATATAAACACTTCATTAATTATTATCTTTATTCGTCCGTCTCGAAAATCGAAGGTCCTATTCCAGCGAAACTGTGCATGAGCATAGATGCATAGCATACATCAAATATGGCCGTTAGAGCCTTTAATTGACTAAGATATAACAGGCAATGACACAAAATCCGTTGGTCAGATTAAACTAAAACTTGGCGTGAATATTGATTATAATGTCAACATTTGTTGGAGGCATGTTTTGTCTACAATCCAGTCGCAGCCAGCAGAGCAGTCAGTACGTCCGCTCTACAACTTTAAATGAGAAATGAGCTTGACAGTCTTATTGTCACCAATGAGCAGTGAGCTTGAAAGTCTCGCCACCGACGTTGAGAAATGAGTTGGATACATGTCATCAACCTGCCTAACTGACCAACGAGCACGATAATCTCGTCGCCTCCACTGGAAAGGACTCCCGGCAATGTAACATCCTGATATGAGCATTGAGCTCAACGGTTGGGCTGCATTTACATAACTCATCGACTCGCCTAAACTAAGTGCGTGTAATGAGCTAGATGTATATCAATGCGTGAACCCAGGCAGTTCTTGCCACATAAACCGGACAATGATTAATTAGTCGATGTTCAGTAATTAAGAACATTGCAGTTCATTATCTACGTAAATAACTCCGGACTCACGGACCAGCGGCTACAGCATGTGTACCAGAATGCACGTCCCTGTAGCTCATCAAAGTGTCAGTTGTTCATCTGTCCGCATTACATGCATTAAATTAGGTGTAAAACTGACGAGCAAGCACTCAGGATAAAATAACTTTCTACCAATCTGACCGCACAAATTTTCACAGGAGAAAGAATATGTAAATAGTCTCGTCAAAGATTTTATCCTTTTTAAATTATCTTTCATATATTAATAGACATATTTTGCACAGTTCAGTTTTGAATTTTTATACTAGATTGAACTGTTTGCAGTAAATAATCATATTATCAGACTAATGCAATTCACGGCATAAGGACGGATATTACAAGTAGAAAACGTTTGGAAGTTTCATCAGATAAACAGAATACCCCGGAAAAAGTTAACACATCTCTTATTAACCGATTTTCGAGATAGTTCAACAATGACGAACTAAAACTACAGACTGTTTATGTGGGCCAACATGTACACAATCAGTTTTTGTCGATATAATATTTCTGGAGGCATGGACTTCAATTTGATTCACATATCAGTTTCGGAATAAGATTTATGCAGAGGCATATCAGGTAAATGGACAGATGCACCGGGTATTACGGACAGAAATGTTAGGGAAATACCGAAGGAATGAGCAAATATTCCAATTACACATAACAGACCACACGAAAAAATATCTAGGACATTTTGGAGGTTTTTACAAATTATGCAGACATGTATCAGACGAATGGACAGCAAATATGACCGACTTATCCCAGGATTGGACAACTGAACACGGACATCCGTCGAATGCTTTTGTGTTAACAGCAAATGCTGAGAGACTAAAGATTATTCCAGGAAAGTTGTGTTTGTTGTTAGAATGAAACGTACATGTTTGAGCTCTTATACTTTTTATAAAGAAGTGGTACTAAAGAATCTGTAAGACATGATTTGTAAATAACAGCTTTCATACAGTATGCCTGTCTGATTCCTTATTGCTAAGACAGTTAAAAAGAACTCGTCCACGTAAGGAGATATTTGACACGAATTTCACTCTAAGAGGTAAAATGTTTGTCGAGTTAAAATCCATATCCTATTTTGTGTAGCTCATAATTAAAAAGAAAGAAAAAGATAAAAAGCATGGATAAATACATGCAATACATGTAGTTAGGTTATTACCCACAAAAAATCGAAACTGTTGTAAAAATGTTTTGAGGGACAGACATTATGAAGCAGTAGATGAGTTTCACTATGTATCAACCGCGTAACTACGGAAAGAAACACGGGGAGAAACGGATAATTATAGATATAGAAAGTATGGTGTATAACGAGATCTCGGACGTCCGGACAGATATAGAACAGCATCCTTTCTATACTTACTTTAGCTTGTAGTAGCAGACCTGTTCAGTGTTAAGGGGCCCCATGTCCGCCACGCCGTTTGTAATGATATCCACGATGACATGAATGATACACTGCCCAAAATGAAGGAACACTCACGGACACTATATTGGCCTTAAAGTTATAAACTTATGACACATATATTGAAAACTACTTGGGTGTAAATATTCCACTGTGACTTTTACAGACACACCTTTACCACTAGTTACCATATCGCTTACCAGTCCTCTACCAGACTGGAATGCGCGGGGTGAAACATGGTCCTATCAATGCTTCGCACGCGCAAAAAGCGCGAGGGCAGAACTTCTGGTGTGTGACGTCACACACCATGATACCTACCAATATGCCAGTGGGGTTGAGTAATTTGGTGTTTCTCGACGCTCTTGGCTCGGGATCAGATCATGTCCATATGGTTAGGTCACAAAGCCTACTCCCAACTGCCACGACTAATAACACTTGGTCACTCGGAGTCCGTTCAATGGTCATTTCACCAACGCACGAACATCGTCGCGTTCCTCCATTTTGTAACCTGTATGCTGCCTAATGGTGCACTACTGAAACAGCCAGAGCTTAATATATTCGGCTGAGCAGTGAGGACCGGGATACTTGATGTTACAAAGTTTATGTTGGAAGCTAGAGAGAGGAAAAAACACTGTAATTCCGCGTAATTCTAGGTCCGCGTTTTAACACAAAATGGGACATCCTACTCGCAGCCCTGGTAGTCTACCATTACTAGTTTATTGAGGCTTGCAACACGGATCGTTTTGCAGACGCTCTCACAGATAACCGGCTCTTAATTATCTTCACTGTTAAGTGATATTCCTAATGATAAAATTGTTGTCAGGAAGATTTTCAAATGATTTGGCATTCTTGGAATAGGATGTCATTTATTTGTTGTTAAGGTGGGAAGGGGAGGAGGGTCGGGAAGGTTGAGATACTGCTTTACATACTGGGCATGAAATGTACACCCTTGTTCTTGCTCTTAACACCAAACAATACACAATCGAACGAAGCATGCATGATAATTAACATGCTTTACACAACCCAGCGTGGCATTAAAAGCTTATTAGGCCGACATGAGTACTCAAATAACCATTATGGAGCTTTGAAATTTGCAAAACAAACATTGATTTTAGGTAGAATCATCATGCACAGAGTGAGATACCGGGACAAGAGATTAGCGTTTTATATCGAGTTACATAGGGGGCTCGTAATAAACGTTTACGATACTGTAGTAAATATGCACGTGTTAAGTACACGGCCGAGTTACATGTACCTTAGAAGCGTTAAACCATTTACCGACCATCTGTAATCGCATAGTTAAAGGAAATATAAATAACAACCACGAGGGGTTTGGCTCGAATATGCCCCGCCCAACAATTTCGTACAACACAATTAAGTACACGTTTAAAATCACTTTTGGTGCTACATGGACCATGGTTCGGGGAAAAATGTATCTTTGGTTGTTTATCCGAAAGTTCGCTAATCCGGATGTTCGTTATACCGAAAGCTCGTTACTCCGAAGGTCTGGAACTGAAGAAATTAGTACATGTAAAATTAATCAAGTTCACGTTTAAGACTGTTAGGATAAAACAACGATAATAGCATCGGTACAGTGCATCTGATGTCATTATTTTCCATATGTTCTTTAACACGAAAGTTCATTAGTCTGTAGGTCTGGTCTGATACCCTTTTGATTGTTACTGTGATATAACCGCCTCCTCTGTATTTTTTTCTAATTTCTCTTCATTAGTTTTGGTATTGCACACATTTTTGTGACGGTGACAACTGTCCTTTTTTTCAGAGAGACTTGGCACTAGAAGAATGTTACTTTATTCATAGACTTAGAATATATTCCACGCCCGTGGTTTGTATTGTTTTTAAGTTTTTGTTACATGTAACTAGTATTATAAGGAAAAAGAATATCGGCGGGCAATTTTAATTTCTGTTTTGTATAGTTAAATAAGTTAAGCGATTCTGTTTTTAGAAAAAAAATCAATATCTAATTACTTGGCTTTGTGCGAAAATAAGTATTTGGTCTTAAATGAAAAACAAAAGAAGCGAAACATGTAAAAGATATTTAGGAACAACCTTGTGACGCTGACGAATGCCTGATTGATAATAATGTTCGGCATTTTGGCATGTTAAACAACACTGCACTATGTATGATACAGAAACATGACTAGGTGCCATTGCCCTCGTTTATCACACAAAGAACTGTGGAAGTGAAATCTCTCTTCGGTTGTTATCTACCCACAGTCGGAACAAAAAGCACGCGCTCTGGGCACACAGATTAGTATGTCTACTTATTTATTTATACAACTCACTGTTTACCCGTCAAATCGTGAACCAAAGACGAAGGAGAAAACCACCATGGCTAGTATCAGACAGCTTCAATCTCGGATCCATTAACAGTCGTCCTACGTAGCATTATCGCGAGATTCGGTCAAAGACACAGGGATGTGTTTACAGTACCAACCCTCATCATAACAAGTTTGAGTAAGATACGATATAGTTATAAGTCAGGTAGAATATTTCTAATATACAAATAAACATCACGAATATGCTGTTTGTAATCCGGAAAGGATTATGACGTCATCAAATATAGCAGAAGTCGTGTGTTTTCAACAAACAAATAATTACATTGTCATATGTGGCAAACTTTAACACGCAACACAATTTGACTCGTTTTTTAAGTTTTTACCTTTACCTTAAAAACAATTGAAATAATTCTCAAATTTTCTGTGATCCATCTACGAAATTCAAGAGTTCCTTGTTAATATGTGGGTTTTTTCAATTGTGTCTGGTTGATTTCAAAAACCGTCTTAAATCTTCAAAATGTCAAGGTATTTTCGTCTACTTTTTTAAATGGAAAATACAGCAGCATTCATAATAAATTGTCAAAAACAATTATCTAATTCTTGAATGTAACTTGTTGTGATTTGTATTCTGTTAAAATCAATTTTCAATGTTTTTTCTAGACTAGCAAGAACCACAAAAAATTAAACTCTTGCACAGTAGATCGGGCATTTATACATTAACATACAACAAAATCCCGGATTTTTCGGAATTAACCGTATCAAATTAGATATCTAAGCTAATTTTGATTTTTAAATTGAAAACTTGTAAACAAAACATACTGATGTGTGCCATACAACTTCGAAGATGTGATATTTTATTCAAAGATTTAACATTTGATGTCCCTTTTACAGAATATCGCTGAAGTTTCCAGATGTTTTTTACTTGTTATTTGACTGAATTCACGTGTTAACCAAAATGCGTGCTGACACGCTCGCTTGTGCGCGTGAATATCCCTTTTAAAGAGATTAATGTTCTATGCTGGCACACTATCGCAAGAGGTCAAGGACTGCCTTTGATTTATCCAAGTTAACCTGTTGACATTTAAATAATAAAGACATGAAAATAACCTTGCCGGTGCTTAAAATATACGGACTTCCAAAACTCTTAAACGGATTGAAATTAACGAGGCGTGCTCTTTAAGTGTGCTGCCCTTGAACCCTTGAACCTTTTCCGTGTAAACAAAGTTTGAAAGATTATTTTTGAAAATAAAGGTTTTCGAGAAAATAGAGATTAAAGCGTTCTGTCACTGAGTCGCACACACCATTAATGTGGGTATGAAATATTTTATTTGAAATCTGTTATTGAAAACTTGATACTATCGAGATCGTTCTGGATAGATTTACTCTGTTTGTTGATAGGTAACGTCATAAGTTCGTGTGTAGATATCAACACAGAAACTCGTGACGTAGTTTGATGATATATTTGCACATATCACAAATTCAGGAATTGAACCTATCGAGTTCCACTTTGAAGGTTATCACTTTTCATGTGAAAAGTCAATAATCCAATTATTCAGCCCTACCTAAACCATGATCCTCGAGTAGATTGAGTATTCCAGGAAACGCAATCACTGTCATGAAATTGTCACTCACTTCCGGTGTAGAGGTAGGCAAGTGTACCAAAGAAAGTGATTCCTGGTGTACAGGTAAAGTCGGCGTAAGATATTGTTTGACTTCCAGTGTACTGGTAAGCAAAGATGTGACTCCTTGAGTACAGTTAGGTGTAAAATTCTGTTGAACTTCCGGTGTACGGGTAGACAAGAGTTCGACTTCTGGCGTGCCTTTTCAATGTAAGATTGGCCGGAACTTCCTGTGTACTAGTAGGCGATTGTGTGACTCTGGTGTACATGTAGATGGAAGACTAGGATAAACTATTAGTAAGTAAGTGTGCGGTTCCTGATGTACAGGTAGGTGTAGGATTATATTGAACTTCCGGTGAATTGGTAAGCGTTGGCCCTACTCATAGTCATTTGGTAGATTGATGTTCGGGTTACTGTGTATTGTAATTTGTCAGGTGTTGAAGTAGTAGTGGCTCAATTGGCATATTCCTGTCCGTTGACACTTTAGTAACTCCTCGGATAGGAGGAGGGGGTGTAAAAAGCGGAGGAAGAGAGGAAAGGGGGAGGGAGTGTAAAAAGTGGAAGTAGAGAGGATAGGAGGACGTGGTTTAAGAATGTGGAGGTAAAGAGGGTAAGAGGAAAGGTATAAAAAATTGTAGGAAGAGAGGATAGGAGGAGGGGGTGTAAAAATGTGGAGGTAGAGAGGATAGGAGGAGGGGTGTAAAAATGTGGAGGTAGAGAGAATAGGAGGAAGGGTGTGAAAATGAGGTGGTAGAGAGGATAGGAGGAGGGGGTGTAAAAATGTGGAGGTAGAGAGGATAGGAGGAGGGGTGTAAACATGTGGAGGAAGAGAGGATAGGGGGAGGGGGTGTAAAAATGTGAATGTATAGAGGATAGGGGAGGGGATGTTAAAATGTGAATGTATAGAAGATAGGGGGAGGGGATGTTAAAATGTGAATGTATAGAGGATAGGGGGAGGGGATGTTAAAATGTGAATGTATAGAGGATACAGGGAGGGGATGTTAAAATGTGAATGTATAGAGGATAGGGGGAGGGGATGTTAAAATGTGGAGGTAGATTGGATAGGAGGAGGGGATGTTAAAATGTGGAGGTAGAGAGGATAGGAGGAAGGGATGTTAAAATGTGAATGTATAGAAGATAGGGGGAGGGGATGTTAAAATGTAGAGGTAGATTGGATAGGGGAGGGGATGTTAAAATGTGGAGGTAGAGAGGATAGGGGGAGGGTGTGAAAATGTGGTGGTAAAGAGGGTAGGAGGAGGGGAGTAAAAAAAATGAGTTATAGAGAAGCTAGGAGGAGGGATGTAAAAAAGTTGTGGTAGAGAGGAAAGAAGGAGAGGAAAGAGGGGGGAGGGGAGAGAGACCCTAAGGTAATAGAAATTGAAATTAATTTCATAAATGGTCAGTGTTCATTCACCAGACATCTCAATATTTCTGGAATGTCCATGTGAATGTCCTGAGAGGCAAGCATCTGGTATTATATTCAGGCCATGGCAATACCTTACAAAACCATTAACTCTGTACTGTTTTGGTTTATTTTGATAGTGTATTAAAACACCGACTTATACCGTT